TATTGCCTAGGCATGGTGGTCGGCCTCTACATGGCACCTCGATGGAAGTGATGGACCATGTCGATTCCTACTAGGCCGAAGGCCTTTTGGCTACTAGCAATGCTTGTGTAGCTAGAGCTCTTAGCATCGAGTGGCTGTGGAGGGTCTGGTAAAGGATATGAGGGAGAAGATTTAGCCCACCACCTTGAGGTTGCCTCCAACTATAGGGATAAGGTGAGAAAGGCTAGGGAGATGCTAAACAGTCATAGCTAAAGAGGACGGAGGCTAAGAATAAACTCCATAAAGTTGAAGACGGTTGGGCAGTTCAAAATTACTTCGCAAACTTCTAGGCTTCATGGAATGCCCAAGAGATGCTAGCTCGAACGAGGCAAGTTCATGTGGGGGTGGACATTAAATTCTTGGTGAAGGAGTTTGGTAGACCAATCGGTGGTCAAACCGATGCTGAAAGTCCAGAAGTTGTTGACGAAGTTCAGCATGATGTTCTAGAGGTATGCGAACCCTGAAATAGAGGTGGTTGGGGAGGAGGCTACCGACCCGTAAGTTTTTATGTAATGGCTTCGACCGTCTCTATATAACTTATCTCTTATTAAATGAAATTTTTTCCTTTGTAAAGTGTTGAGGCTTCATCTTTTATTGAATGTATGTTAGCTATCACTTCACCACTATTAATAACACCTTTTCAATAAGTTAATGAGCTAACCTTAATTAAACACTTCAAATTTGGCGACACACTCTACTGATGATTATGGTAATGACAATCGTAACTTTAACTTGTAAAATTAACAAGTATTGACGCCTCAGATAATTTTGGTGTTACACCTCGATAGGTGAAGGTTGAATGGATCGTATAACTTCATATAGGTTAGATTAGATGAACCATGTTACCTCGATCATTGCAATGAAATCTAACATTTTTACCAAGTGTTAACGCTTCGGTCATTTAAATAAAATGTTGTTTAGACACCTCATGGGTTATGGTGTAGGCCCCTTTTAGATTACATTACACCTATTCGTCGACGTGTCAAGAATACTTCAGTGAATGGGGGTGGCTCATCCATGCTAAGGTTTTCTTCCATGGTGGATGATTCATCCATAAAAGACATCGTCTTCGTACGTATCTTAGGTGGGCTGCCCTTTTTGGGATGCTTCTCATATCTCCTTTCAAAGTGGATTAACTTCCTTGTATGGGATGACTCATACATGCCGAGAGCTTCTTCCATAATGGGTGGATGGTTTATCTAAGGAAGGCATTGTGACAAAGAGAAAGTACTTTTGATAAAAAAAAAAATCATTTGCATTGAATAAAATATATTTACATGAGCTGGAATAGATCGTCCAGCTGAATGGGTGAACCTTGCTCACTGATAGCATCTGCTTAGGTAATCTATGTTTCATATATGAGGTTACGTCTTTCCATCTAGGTTTTCGATTTTGTAAGTGTCAAGTTGTAGTTCTTCTTTGATGCGAAGGGGCCTTCCCAAATGGGGTCTAACGTACCCACGCTTGGTTTTTTAGAGGAGATAAAGACCTTCCTTAGTACAAGTTTGCCTATGTGGAATGAACTCTTCCTTAGTACAAGTTTGCCTATGTGGAATGAACTCTTCTTTACTTTAACATTATAATAATCGGTCATCTTTTGCTGGTAAGAGGCGAGTTTTACTTGGGAATCATCCTTCCTTTCTTCAAAGAAGTCAAGATCGCACCTCCTTAGCTCATCATGGGATATTTAGTTAAAACGCAAGTGACAAGGTGAGAGCAGTCCTACCTCAATCGGACTCATAGCTTTGGCTTCATAGGCCATGGTGAAGGGAGTTTTTCATGTGACTGTTCGGCTTGAGGGAGCTTGTCAACTCATGCTCCTTTTGAGGCATCAAGCTTCCTTTTTTAGGGTATACTTGACAGTTTTGCTGACGACTTCGACATGACTATTCGTCTGAAGGTGGTGAGGTGTGGAAAAATGCTTCTTGATTCCTAATTCCTTGCATAGGTCCCTGAACGTTTTGTTGTCAAATTGTCGTCCATTATCTGAAGTGATTGAGTGAGAAATGTCGAACCGACATATGATGTTATTCCAAAGAAATTAAGAAGTATTAGCTTTCGTGATTTTGACCAACGATCCCGCTTTTACCCATTTTGTGGAGTAATCAATGCCGACAATAGCGTAGCTTGTATTGCCTTGTCCTTTTGGCATGAGCCCTATGAGGTCAATCCCCCACTTGGCGGATATCCCTCTTTCAAGGTAGGGCAATAATATCTTTGCCTAAGCACCTTTTGTGCGAGTACGGGTCCTCCGGTATGGATGCCACACACACCTTTATGAATTTAATGTAGGACGTAGGTTGCCTATTCTCCTCCGGTGCATCAAAGGAAGGGTGAGGAGAAATCTTGTTTGTATAGCACATCATTTTAGATAATGAAATGTGTAGCTCTATTTTTGAGCTTTGGGGTCCATCCTTGTTGTCAGTTAAGTCCTGATTCTTGAAGCAGGCAATATTAGTTGCATCCATGATGGGGTGCCTTCAATGGGTACTATCTTGAGATAGAGGGTTGGCGAGGTGCTCAATGGGTTCTAACTTATCATAAATATTTTCTTTACTGGTAATGGGGAGAGCAAGAGGAGGCGATCCAAACATGGCAAGGTCCCGTTTCACCTGGTGCATGTGACACCTCCTTGTTTCCTCCAATCCATTTAATTAAATTGGTGCGGTTACTTAGCCTATGTTCGGATTCCCGTTAAATTTTAATTCATTTTCTCTCTTCTCTAATCAATTGCGCATTCTCTAAATAAAATAATATTAAACATAAATCCAAAAATCTCCTTCTTAATCACACATTCTTAAAAAAAGAATATTTCAAAATCAATTTTTTTCAAATAATGGAGCTCAAACAAGGGCTTAAACCCATGTGATTATTTTTATTATTCCAAATAACCCACTTTCAATTATCAAACTATGTCTATTTTACTTGCTTATTATCTAATATAATATTTTCAAAGATAAAAAATAATTAAGAATAAGAAATTTCAATATATATATGTAGTAGGTTTGATTTTGGTTTATGCTAAAACTTTTAAATGCTTTCGAGTTTTAAGATTAACAATTACGGATTCTGATCAAGTTCTCAGTAACAATCTCGTACTGAATTTTAATATTTAGTTATTTTATAATCTCTCATCTACAAAGTTAAGTAAATTTACTTGAATTAGAATGATCGTCACATGTGTCATCTGAAATTACGCATAATGCTTTATATTTTTACTATTATTTTAAAAAATACAAAAGTACTTAATTAAATGAGACTGAACTAAAATTAAGGAAATTATCGGCTTCGAGGGAATATCTATTGCAATTTCCCAGGTTCACTTTTTTCCTTGTCAAATCTTAACAGAAAACAGTCTAATTTTACTATGTAAAATATTTGACTCCTAGGTATCTCGAGTATAAAATTCTATGTTGTAACATCGTTGATACAACAAAAATAATTAACCATATAGTATAGGTTAAATAAGAAAATATTAAATAGCGGACACAATAACAATTGTAAATGATTCGAACAAATTAAGTGATTAAAACATGTCTTGCGTAGATCTTAATTGAAGGTTAGATGATGAAAATATATATTAAATCGACACGTTATATTGGTAATAGTTTAATTGTTTTCGAGTTGAGATCGATTGTCCAATTTTTACTGTTCATCCAATTAATTATTAACACATTATTATTTTAATATAAAATGATGTATCAATAACTAATTGCTAGACAACAAATATTAACTCATTGTTTTCAATCATTTATATATAGCAATAAGTCGAACAAAATTAGAAAAAAAAAACGTTAATATAATCAATTTATTGCAAATTCCGAGGATATTTCGATAAAAATACCCTTACAAATGGAGAATTAAAAGGATGAACAAACCCATAATAACGTATGAATGATGTCCTTATTGAAAGGTTCACATTTTCTGGAAAAAAGGAAAAAAAATTATATAAGACACAAAAATTTGACTAAAAAATATAATTTAAAACTTTTTTCCTGTAATGAATATTAAAGAAACAAGAAATCCGTTACAAAACAAGAAAGGTGAAGAGTACAACAGTACAGTGAGAGATTTCTTTGTACAGAATAAAGGCGGCTTACTATTTTTATTTCTCTTAAGCAAATACTATTGCTAATGAACTCAGATTCAATTTTAGGCAATTTTCTTTCAATCTTTCTCTTGTTCTTTTCACCATAATATTAAGTATAATTCCATCCATTAGACGACACAAGGAAAAATCTTTTTTGTGGATAAATCAATTATTATTGTTCTACCTTTTACTCCTTTTTTTTTTTCCTTTTCCAGTTTATTTATCAAAAACTCTCTCTTGTTTCGATCGGATCTGAAAAGGACACAAAATAAGCAGTTCAGTTACCAGTACAAAGTTCTTTCACTTTCTCAGAGTTGTAGGAAGAGTCATGAAATATTGTTGGAGAATCTGCATTTTCTAATTAGGTAAACCTTTTTTTTTTTTTTTGTGGGTTTATGGGAATGAGGAAGAAGGATTTGTGCAGTGTCTTAAATTTATGGGGAATAAGGCTTTGTTTGTCGTTTTAGTTTTGTGGGTTTATATTGCTTTGCTGATTTTTAAGGATGTAAGAGAAATAGAGAATCTTGCATTACTTGGTGATCAAGAAGGAATTTGTATTTTTCTTTTCATTCTTTCTGGATAATGAGATTAATTCTTGTTGAAGAAACTGATCTTTTGGATTTTACTGATTGTGGAGAATTTTTCGTGCTTTATTACTTGTATTGTAAATTAGGTTAATTGTTCCTTTTCTGCGTAATTTATGAGAATTTCTTTCAATGTAGAAGATATTGGTGATTCAAATTATTGCAAATTGATTGATCTCAAGTATGATCTTTGTTCAGAATAGCTTAGGTAAAATGTGATTATTTTAGCAACTTTTTGTTTGTAAGTTCTTAGTGTGGCTTAGTTTCACTCAATTTCAGGACGTTAAATGTCAATGTCTAAGCTAAACCGGGCAATGGAATCACTTGTTGAGGGAATTAATTCTTTGCCAACGAGTCGTAGTATTGTCAATACTGTAGAGTATACTCCTCCTGCTGTTGGGACTAGTCGTCTGCCCCATCCTGCGTCACTAAAAGAGTCTACATATGAAGGAAGCTCATCTAGGTCCTATGTACTTCCTACAGCTCGTGGGATGAAGAAAACTCATACTCCAAAGGACTCGATTAGTTCAGAACGGTCACATATCAGTATGCAGGGAGATGTGATGTATGATTCGTGTAGAGATGACAATGGATCAAATATAGAAAAGGGGTGTTTTGAAGGCACTGGAGATGATAATAAAGGAGAAGATTGTATACAGAAGCTTCTTTTGACATTGGAAAACGAAGATCGTATTCAACATCCAATTGATGATACCAAGAATTGCAATTCCAATGGCCTTGTGGAATCAGTGGAGTTTGCTTCAAATTCCATGGATAAAGGACCTGTAGAGCTTTGTCGGAGTCCTCAAAACAGTTTTTACTCAGCCACACAGTACATGGAAGCCAAACAAAGCTTCACCAACACCGAAGTCAGTGAATGTGCGAGCAGTGTCAAGAAGTCGGTTGAAAGTGGGGAAGTTGGCAACTTTTTTGATGTTGAGAGTCGGAAGACTAGTATCTATCGAGGCAGCACGGGTAGTGACATCAGCGATGACCGCAGCTCGACCAGTTTGAATAGTGCTACATACAAACCGCACAAAGCAAACGATAAGAGGTGGGAAGCAATACAAGCAGTCAGATCTTATAATAACGGTGCATTGGGATTGAAGCATTTCAGAATTTTCAAGAAATTAGGATGTGGGGATATAGGCAGTGTTCATCTAGCCGAGTTGATCGGCACTAGAAGTTATTTTGCCATGAAAGTGATGAATAAAGAAGCTCTAGCGAGTCGGAAGAAGCTTCTCAGAGCTCAGACGGAGAGAGAAATTCTACAATCTCTCGATCATCCTTTTCTTCCCACTTTGTATACTCACTTTGAGACAGAAATGTTGTCATTTCTAGTGATGGAGTTCTGTCCTGGGGGAGATTTGCATGCACTTCGACAGAGGCAACCCGGGAAGTATTTCCCGGAGCATGCCGCGAGGTAGTAATTATTATTCTTGTCCATTGATAAATGATTTTCTTCCACTGGACCTTAAGCAGGGAATATGAATTTTCTATAATTCAATCATGACGATCTAAATTCAAGGTGTGTTTAGGACTACGTTTCTTTTACTAGGTATCCACCATGTAGCTTATGGAAGTACTGGGCCTTAGGACGATGGTGTTCCTAACGAGGATCTTAGAAACGATAAAAATAGCAGTATATAAATCGGCATCCCTGCTGACAAGTTCTTGCATCTTGTTCGGATATATGGCTTCATAAATCGTCTTTAGGTTGCCCTTATATTAATTTATAGCAGAATGCCATTTGCATCAATCACCTAAGTTCCTTGCCTGATTTTCCTCTAATTATGATTATAGATAAGATATTTTGACAGATATTATCTCTACCAACTTGATATTTGTTGCAATAGAAAGTTTCATTTCGATCAACACATTGGAGCTGCGAAGTTAGATTAAATAAATTTGAGTAATTTGATTTGAATGGCGATTTGACCACGAGGTGTTTGTAGAGTTTTCATTGTTTTCATGTTAAATATTCATAAGTCATTTCTTGCTTTCGTTTCATTTATTTAAATCGAGCCAATTTGTGTTCATACTATATTTTCGTATTGCTTTTCTTCAGGTTTTATGTAGCAGAAGTTCTTCTTGCTTTAGAGTATTTGCACATGCTCGGAATCATTTACCGAGATCTTAAACCCGAAAATGTTTTGGTGAGGGGGGATGGGCATATAATGCTTTCAGATTTTGACCTTTCCTTGAGGTGTGCCGTGAGCCCAACGCTGGTCAAATCCTCGAACTCCAACTTGGAATCGAAAAGCTCGGGATACTGTGTTCAACCATCTTGTGTCATCCAACCGACTTGTATCCAACCTACGTGTTTTGGACCTCGTTTCCTGAGCAAATCCAAGAAAGAAAAGAAATCCAAACCAAAGACGGAAATATATAATCAAGTGAGCCCTCTTCCAGAACTCATTGCGGAGCCTACTAATGCTCGATCGATGTCCTTTGTTGGTACACATGAATACTTGGCACCGGAAATTATCAAGGGAGAAGGCCACGGGAGTGCAGTAGATTGGTGGACTTTGGGGATCTTTCTCTACGAGCTTCTGTTCGGGAGAACACCTTTTAAGGGATCCGAAAACCGGGCTACTTTGTTTAATGTAGTCGGACAGCCCCTGAGATTTCCCGAGTCACCTATAGTTAGCTTTGCTGCACGGGACTTGATCAGAGGTTTACTGGTGAAAGACCCTCAGAATCGACTTGCATATAGGCGTGGGGCCACCGAAATCAAACAGCATCCGTTCTTTCAGAGCGTGAACTGGGCTCTCATTCGTTGTGCCAGTCCTCCAGA